GACTAAGAAGCTGAGGAATTCATTCACCACAAGACTTTAGAAGTGAGGAATCATTCACGCAAATAAGACTATAGAAGTTGAGGAATGAGGAATTTCACCAAGCAAAGACTATAGAAGTGAGGAATCATTCACAGCAAAAGATAAGAAGTGAGGAATCATTCATCAGCAAAAGACTATAGAAGTAAGGAATCATTCACCAGCAAAAGACTATAGAAGTGAGGAATCATTCACCAGCAAAAGACCATAGAAGGAATCATTCCAGGCAAAAGACTATAGAAGTGAGGAATCATTCATTCCAGCAAAAGAATTTAGAAGTGAGGAATCATTCACCAGCAAAAGACTATAGAAAAGGAATCATTCACAGCAAAAGACATAGAAGTATGAGGAATCATTCACCAGCAAAAGACTATAGAAGTGAGGAATCATTCATCAGCAAAAGACTATAGAAGTGAGGAATCATTCACCAACAAAAGACTATAGAAGTGAGGAATCATTCACCAGCAAAAGACTATAGAAGTGAGGATCATTCACCAGCAAAAGACTATAGAAAGGAATCATTCACCAGCAAAGACTATAGAAGAGGAATCATTCAAAAGACCATCATTCATCAAAAGACTATAGAAGTGAGGAATCATTCACCAGCAAAAGACTATAGAAGTAAGGAATCATTCATCAGCAAAAGACTATAGAAGTGAGGAATCATTCACCAGCAAAAGAAGAAGTGAGGAATCATTCACCAGCAAAAGACTATAGAAGTGAGGAATCATTCACCAGCAAAAGACTATAGAAGTGAGGAATCATTCACAAAAGACTCATTCACATAGAAGTGAGGAATCATTCACCAGCAAAAGACAAGTAGTTCTTGAAGTCCACTTGCTGGTGATGATGGCATTTCCCAGGGTATTTCTTGTGCGTCACTATATGTTCGGTAGTCGTCTGACATAGTTGGTATGACTAGTCCTGTCTTCAAATGAAATGGTATCTCTGTCACTTACCCTTAAATACCCTATGCGAAGCGCTTCGCAGAGGGTATTTCAGGGTAAGTGACTCTGATACCTTGTCATTTGAAGACAGAACAAGCCATAGGAACCATGTCAGACGTGGATTATACCATCATCATCACCAGAAGGACTTGACGAAATTCTCTCAAATTCTACAAACATCAACTGCCTAGGTAAGTGACTGACTATACCTAAAACTTATAAGTGAAGTGACGATATCATAGTCTCATCCAAAACAATATACAGTCATAGTCACTCACTCTATCTATCTCTCCACACAGACCAAATACCACTACTTAAGAGGATAAACTACTATGGGGATCATTCACCAGCAAAAGACTATAGATGTGAGGAATCATTCACCAGCAAAAGACCATACATTCATACATTATCCGTCTACCAAGCTCACGTTGAACACTTTTCACAATGAAGCATTTAGAATCCTTATCTTCTGTATTTATCGAGAGAAAAGAACTATCAATACACTTCCAACTTGACTACATACATATGATTTACCAAATGAAAGAATTATAAATTCCATAACCTCTATATTCATGGACTTTTCAACTCTTATGTGAATAGTCAGTTAGTCATTTGGCATGATAAGGATAAGGAATCCTACAGAGGAGAAAATCAAAACTAAGGATGATATCAAAATAAACGAAAATCAAAGCAGAGGTCAATATCAAAGTACACCAAAGAAGGCATGCAGAAATTTATAAAACATATTTTTCAAACCAAGTGATTAGTTTTTTCTTCACAACCTCGATCGTAACTGTAATATTTACATCAAATGAATCATAAAACACCACAGTAATACTATCGTACACCGTGTCCAAGATCTCTAGACTGTTTCCATAGAAAGGAAAGAGAGAAAATGTGCGTAGAATTCACAGACCAAAAAATCATTTTCCTGTCTCTCATATGCGGTGAAAAGTCCAGTGAGAAAGGAGAAAGCCTAATTATTTTCAGATCATAATATTTCTAGTGGGATCACTATAGTCACAAGTTTGAGAATTTCTGACAGCAGTATATTTTGACTATAGATATTTATAGCAAAAGACATAAG